GTTGTTGCCAGACTTACAGTTTGTTGCCAGAACGTTTTTCTTTTCGTATGATTAGGGTATAAAAATCACAGTTTAATTTGGCAGTGTGAGTTTGGGAAAAATACACGTAATGAAATTTACTGAGATCACACAAACATTGAAAGCGGGTGTTCGAAGTTAGCGATGTTACTGGAGGATGTTGTCACGTTCTTGGCGCATTTGTATTACGCTATTCAGCTCTCAGATGTGGGTAAAAATTATGTGTGGGATTTATTCTGATAATAACGATTATTTTTGAAACAGTTTTTATATTTTTCAATTGCTGTTTATGGAGCTATGGGAGCTCCAGTACTTGTTTTTAGATGTTTGAAAATAATGTATAAGGACATAATCAAGCAGCCGATCGACACTCTCAAAGTGTGTGTACCCGCAGTTATATATGTTATCCAGAATAATCTACTTTATGTTGCCGTATCCAATCTTCCAGCAGCAACATACATGGTCTGGGGTTTTTTTTTTTTAGTCAAAAAATACAGATTATTGGGGCAACGTTAAATGTCGTCTCTATTTTGTTTCTTGTAGGAAATTGAGATACTTGGAAATGGTCCAAGTAATAAAATTTTCTCTACAGCAACCATCAAGCTATCCATGAATTTCTTTTGCTTTCCGAAGGTTTTTTAGGAAACAGGCTCTATGCAGTTCTGGCTTTTCGGCATGTACAAGTGCCAATTTACCACTGGAATAAATTATAGTTTGGTGAATTTGAAACTTCAAATGAATTTGGCCGTAAAAGTTACATGCCACCACATAAACCCACCAAATTCTTAAGCAGTTGAATTCGAAATTGCCTTTAGTGCTTGTTGTTTTTGTGAACCTTTCTGATTGTTTTGAACCTTTGCTGCGAGTACTGCCACTTTTCATACTCATTTATGTTTGATCTTTATTGCGTTATTATTTTACACATTTTTCCATTTTTTCAGGTTTCTTATCAACTGAAAATCCTCACAACCGCACTTTTCACAGTCATTATTCTTCGCAGACGACTCTCTCTAGTACAGTGGCTGGCGCTTATTATCCTTTTTGGTGGTGTTGCCTTGGTACAATTGGTAAGTGTTCCTGCTGTTTTTCCGTTTTTCCAAGCTTCGCTGTTTTAGATACGTCTTGGTCCTCAGGCCATAATTTATGGGGAGGGTACTGAGCTGGATAAACAAAATCAACAAATTTATGAATACCTCATGCAGAGGGATGTTGAAATGTGAGCGAGGGTGCTGCCTGTTTTTTTAAAAATGAGCATACCGGCCTGATTAATGAATTAATAGAACCGGGTATAACTGAAAATTCAGGATGAGCAA